CTATACATAATATACCGGTACTTTAATTGAATAAAACAAAATATAATGACAATAGCATTATGTTACTGGAACTGATACAGGTACTGTACCGAACATATTGTTTCTATTGTAATCGATATTAATTACAATATCGGTTGACAGATTTGTATTTTTCTGTTGTAATTTAAATTTTTTGGTAAATTATATTTTTTATAAATTCTTTAGGTAGGTAATTAGGTGTGGTGGTGTTGTTAATTACACAGTATGTATATAGTAGGTGGCGATAAAATATATTTTTGTTTCTATAATATTTTAATTTAATATTAAAACCCTATTAAGTAATTGTATATGGCAAAAATGTGGCACAAAATTCTGTTTTTTTTTTTTGTTTTGTTTTGTTTTTGTAGTATGTATATAAATGACACAAAATTATGAAAAAAAAACATATATAAAAATTAAATTATCTACTTTGTTGAAATGTGAAATGTATTGCTTTTAACAGATATTAGACATGAAAATACACACTTTTACAATATTCTAAGACGACAATATTTTTTGTTTAATATCATGCAAAAACATATTACTTTTCAATAAATAATTTAAACACACAAGGGCATTCAATATTCATTTACACTCCACCATACATCTGTTAAAGCATACATATATTTCGGGTTTATATTCTGGAATTTTAAAATGCTCTTATAAAAATAATAGTAATTTTCATACTTCAACATAAATCGTTGCATTCAACAGTTTGGCATTTATGAGTCTCAAAAAAAAAAAACTAAAGAATTTTATTCCAAAATATTGCAACACATAGTTAATTTTACATTTCTAATAGTCTCAACGTTACATAAGTAAAATTCTTAAATAAAAATAAAATATTTTACAAAAGAAAACTAATGATATAAAGAAAAAATAAACTGAAAATATTAAGATAAATAAAATAACAATCCTGCGTTAAAAATGACACTTCTCGAAATTATTCACAGTTTTGGCCGGAAATTCATAATTAATCGAATTAAACTATTCGTATAACTAATTTCTAATTTATAAACAAATTGCAACATTTACATAAAATTTTTTATAAATATATAAAAATTTTTTATAATACAAATCCAGGGAGTTAAAATTCTGAAAATGAAAAATCCCATTAAAAGGTCAGAAAAAATTAAACATTTAAATTAAATTATATATTTTTAAAATGATTTTATCCTTTTTAAATAAATACAATTAAAATGAATTACACATAATTAAACCGAATATTTCGAAAGTTTTAATAAGAATTCATTTGGTGAACGTTTTGGGATAAATTCTGGTGGAGTGCATAAAAATTCGGCTTGGCCGAATTCGCTAAATTGTTCAGTATAAAAAATTAAACGAACGTTTATAAAAGCCCAAGAGATTGGTATTTGAGAAAAATTTGACAAGTTCAGGACTAGCATTTGTAATTAGATATTGGATTAAAGATAAGTAATTATCCTGATTTTAAACATTGTTTTTACACAATGAATACATACAAATGTATTTAATGTATACATAAGATGTACACACACAAGTGTATATAAGTAATACTTCCATAAATCCGCAGAATAAACACAAGCGCCATCCTGACGATTGAGCTTCAGACATTGGTCGGTCATTATAAATATTTTTTTTACAATATCAAATATGTTATAAATGAAAATAAAAAAATATGCATATGTCTATTGATGTTATGAAAAGTATTATCATAACTTATGAAAGTATTCGTATATAAAAGTATGTATATGTTGTTGTATTTTCCGATCTTTATTTTTTCAACTACTACTTCTCCCAAATAATTTGTGTGCATGTATATACAATCATAAGTAAGTAGAAGTTTTTACATAATTAAATAAATTAAATAGCCTAAAGGTCTATATATTAAAATTCTATAATAATTTGTTAATTCAATTTATTTGAATGTCTGTCATGTGATCTATAGTGTGGTATGTATGTATGTATGTATGTATGTATGTATGTATGTATGTATGTATGTATGTATGTATGTATGTATGTATGTATGTATGTATGTATGTATGTATGTATGTATGTATGTATGTATGTATGTATGTATGTATGTATGTATGTAGGTATGTATGTATGTATGTATGTATGTATGTATGTATGTATGTATGTATGTATGTATGTATGTATGTATGTATGTATGTATGTATGTATGTATGTATGTATGTATGTGTATGTATGTATGTATGTATGTATGTATGTATGTATGTATGTATGTATGTATGTATGTATGTATGTGTTTTCTTCATTTAAAATATTTTGTTTTATGTGTGTATAAAATAAATTTCGATTTTAGTTTCATTTTAAGTCTATCATAAAAAGGGTCAATTTCAGTTTTTTTTGTTTTTTCTTTTAATTGCTTAACAATTATATAAAATATTATCAGGTTGATTTTCTTTTGTCGTATTAATATGTATTTATGTATGTATTGCAATTTTTATCAATTTCCAAAATGCACAAAATATTTTATCTACTTCCCAACGTCCTTATTCACATTTCAGGATGTTCTTAAAAATTTCGAGTGTCACGTCTTAGTAGTATATATTGAACATAAATTACTTTTGCAGTTTTGATAGCACACTGAAATAATCCATGCCTAAAATATACGAAAAATGTCGTATATTGTACGAAATGCTTCGTGGTTTCGCAACACGAAATTCTTTCGTAATATATACGAAATTGTACGAAATATTTTAGTAAAATGCAAAATAATTTTATATAATTTTAGAAAAAAAATTTGTTTATTTTACGATTTTTTTAAAAACATAAATATGTTAGTTCTTTTAAAATAATCATTGTAGATTTAAAAAAAGATTGCGAATTAAAAAAAAAAACAAATTTTTTATGTGCGAATTAAAAAAAAAAACAAATTTTTTATGTTTTTTAAAAAAACATAAAAAATTTTACAGGAAATTAGGCAGCTAATTTAATGTAAATTTAAAATTACGTTTAATTTAACTCGCTTAAAATTACGAATATAACAAAAAAAAATTCGTAACAAAATATTTTTTTTGGTGAAATCAAAAATAATTCTTGTATATTACTAAATAATTTTGTTACGAAAAAAATCGTTACTTTTTTTAAATATTACATGTCTTAATGAAATTATTTTTGTAAAAGAAAACAAAGTTTCTTTCTTAATATATACGAAAAAAGATATTACGACAGGTTTTCGTACTTTCGTAAAATTAGAAAAGGGGTAACGTTAAGCATGGATTATTTTCAGTGCATGAATGCATATAAGTAGAATATTTAATTGTCAGTGAGTTCTCTAGATAATGTGAATGTAAAACTAAAAAATGTATAAAAAATTAGCTTGTTTGTCGTAGTTTAGAAAAAAATTGATTTTAATCCAATGAAATAAATACACAGATTTTTGTTAATTTTTATATGATTAAATTAAAATTTAGTGCTCTCAATTTTATTTTAGCAAATCGTTAAATTTTTTGTTAAGAGTGTATAGTCAGCGGAATGTTTTATAGTAACAAGTTCAGAGACAAATAATGGTGTTCTGTATCGAAATTTGATATAAATGTTTATTAATTCAGAGGAGTGTGAAGAATCAGCTGTTCTTGTTTAGAATTAAGATTCTAAAAATCTTAATTTGAGTATGTTGGCTTTTTAAAATGCTATATGCAACATAAAAATGTAAAAAATCATTTCGGAACATTGCAAGATTATGTGTGGATTAGTAAAATTATTTTAATAACTCATAAACTTCTCAACAGCATAAACTGTAATATCTCTATAAGGAAATTAAACCGAAATTGTTCAAATTGACTCAGCGTTACGGCAGCAAAACTAGTATCATACTAATCCACACTGAAAAAATCCATGCCTAATATATACGAAAAATGTCGTACATTGTACGAATCTTTCGTTGTTTGGCTCCAAGAAATTCTTTCGTAATATATACGAAATTTTAGTATAATGCAAAATAATCTTGGAAAAATTAATTTACATAAATTGAAAAAAGTGAATTTTTAATAAATACGGTAAAAATTACGAAATATTAATTTATACAAACATTTTTGCTAATTTTCAAATAATTTTTCTAATTTTAGTTCAAAATTATTCTCCACACGAATTTTTAATTTTTTTTTTTATGAAAATAGTTCGTCAGTTATATTATACTTTTTCTTAAATTTTATAAAAATGTTGTTGTTTTATCTAATGATAATATACTTAATATCATTATGTTTAATTTCGCTAAAATTCAAGAAAACATATTACGAAAGGTTTTCGTACTTTCGTAAAAATAGAAAAGGGTTTTATTAAGTAATATTTCGTATTATACACGAAATTTTTGTAAATATTACGAAAATATAAGTTACGAAATTTTTTTTCGTAAAGTTGAGCATGGATTATTTTCAGTGCAGTCAACACCCCTCAAAATACGATAGGTAAATAATAATAAACACTCTTACATATGTATGTATATGTAAGTACATATATATGCATGTAATACAAATAATTTTGTTGCTATGATCCCATTTTCCATTGTTTGCTGACTGATTCTTATTTGATGATATACATATATGTATATGTACATATGTATACCACTTGATCATTTAGGTGTTAAAGTAATATTATTTGTAAATATCTTTCGTCTTAGCACATTGATACATTTCCTATCTTATAGCAAATATACGGTTTGGTTCTGTTTTATGTAAAACCTGAGTGACCAGAAAATTCTAAATGTTAATGGAAATGGAAACTGAAGAAACCGTTTTATAAATTTGTGTGAAGAATATTTTAACACCTCGCCTAAATGTATTACGAGAAGTGACCTGTCAATGTTTGGCAATGCAACTTCAAAGATTGTCATACATTTAATCTAATTACATAAGTACGTTTTTAAACTGCTCCATATTGAAGGGAGAGAGGCAAAAAGATATGATAAAAAATTTAATAACAGTAGAAATAAATGAATATTGAAATACGTAGAATTAATATTAATATATCACACACTATATCGACAAATGCAAACATATATTTAAATTTAAAATTCTGTTTGATAATCTAGATTTATAAACTAACACCATCAATAGTTCTCGTTAAATTGTTGCTTTTCTCTCCGGAAATAAGATTGTTAGATTGGGGTTATGTTACACTTATGGCACCACTTTCATTCGTTGCAGTTGTTTCACTTGTCGGCCGACGACCGACATCAATATTTACAGACATGGCACTAGTGGCTACATTGCTAGCGCTATTACTGTTGCCAACAGCTCGAGAAGACTGTGTGACAGTTGTTGGCGCAGAAGCAATGGCCGCGGCAGCTGCTGCTGCCGTAGCCAAATGATGGCCGAATTGTTGTTGGAAATGTTGGGTGAAATTATTGCTAAACATAGCATTATGAGGTGGGGGTAGTGGTAATGCTGCTTGCGTTTGGTGATGTGTGGATTGCAGGTGGTTAAAAACAACATTTGCTGTTGTTGTAGTATGTCCGCCTGTTGAAGCCGATAAAGACCCTAATGAGGTGCACGTGTTGCTATTAATACTACTACCACTGCTGTTGCTGATTCCGTTACTTTCCTCTCGTGGCCTTTTCGTCAACTGATTGATGCTGAGCGGGTTATTGATGTCTCGGGGATTTGCGCCGATTGGATTTCTCTGTAGGGGTATTGATATATGACTGCTGTTGTTGCTGATGCTGGCACTTAGAATATCGGTTGTGGTAGAGATTGCCACCGGTGATGAGGCTGCAGACGATGTTACTGACGGTACTGAGGGTGATTGGGTTGATATTAATGCGGTGGTTAGTGGTTGATTTATGGATTTGTCTGAATTATCAGAGCGTATATTATTAAGACTAGTTGTTATTGAGGATCGACTGCTACTGGTTGTTGGTAAGGATGTTATTAGACCTGAGCCATCGTTTGCGCTTGTTGCAGCCAGTCCTAAGGAATTATAGGTGTTGTCATTACTAATACTGTTGTTGTTGCTAATACTATTGTTAGACATGGCCAAGCCCATTGCTATATGACCAATACGATTGCCAAGTAACATTGCCGGGCTACCGCTAAGCAATGAGCGAACCATTCGGTCGGATAATGAGGCCGGCGAAGATGTGGAGGATGTATTTGTTGAACATGAGCTTGCTGATCCATAACCCGACACCGAACCCGATGACGATGAAGATGAGGTAGATAGTGTTGGCAATAGTGTGGACACTACACTGGAAGCAGCGTTAATTATGCCACTTTCATAGGCAGACACTGCTGTCGCATTTGAATTGGAGCCTCCAACACCAATAGATTGTTGCTGCTGTTGCAAATGACTTGACTGCTGTTGATGATGATGATGTAGCTTTGTCTGTTGTAGTAATTGCTGATTTAAATGTTGTTGCTGAGCCTGCAAAACCTGCATATGCTGCTGTTGCAACTGTTCATTTACGGGTGCATTTAACAGTCCGTTGCCATGCTGCGGCATAACCGGACTTGTCAACAGACTTAAGGGGCTGGCTAAACTTGTTGATGGACTTTGCAGGCTGGAGAGACCACTTAAACCACCAGGACTCGAAAGACTATGGTTCAGTGATTCGTTGTCTTCATCTCGGCCCTTGTGTGTGTCATCGCCACTACCACAACTTCCCAAATTATCATGTTCGTTGTCGTCGTCATCATCCTCATCACTTCGTTGACCGTCCATGTCATCTAAATCATTACAGTGATCTTCTTTTGTACTACCACCACCGGTTGCACCAACCGACTCCATATAGCGAATGCACTTCTTTTTGCGCCTATTTATATATAAAAAAATCAAATTAGTAATTTCCATTGCATTTCTCTTTAAAATAATAATATTTGTTTTCTATTAATTTTTCCACTTTTTTCATTTTGTTTTCCAAAATCAATACATGTTATTTGGATTTGTTTAAATGTAACAAAAAAAAATTAAACAAAAAATATTTATTAAAGATTCATGCTATTATACATTCCAGGTCATGCAAAATCAAATAATATAAATCAAAAATAATAAAAATTTTAATAATAATTAAGACCATTAAAGCATAAACATTAAAAAATTATATTCATTATTATTATTTTTATTTCTTTCTTAGCAAAATTTGGATCTGCCCCAATCTTCATATTTACAACCTCATCCAGTTTTCAGTTCCAATCTGATATTGTTTTACTTTCCGATTAAGAACTATAGAACTTGGACTATAGTTCTTAATATAGACCCAAATAAATGATCAAATAAAATCAGGCATCTTAATTATTCAGAACTTGTACAGTACCTACATCAGTTTGACTTGTGTAAGAGATTGGAAGGAATTGGTTGGTTGGTGGGGTGTGTTGGGTCTAATTTACATGCAACAGAAAGTTGATAACATGCTGAACTTTAGTAAAAAAGAAACGAACCAAATGAAAAAGATAAAAAGCTATTTCTGTTGTTTTTACAGATGTTAACTTAATGGAAGACTTTCCATTTTAGCAATAATATGTAAAATTTCAACAGTTTTAAATTCGATAAACATCCAAACAACAATTTGTTTTAAAGTAATTATGGTTAAGAAATAAAAGTTAATAAAAGAAACGTATATACATATATTGAAACAAAATAATAATAAAATGTTTTAATACTGCTTTAATAAACAAGTATTTAACAAACAAAAAATTCAAGCATTTTTATTGCAAAGATATTGTCCTAAATTATATGTATTAATTGGCGTCTAATCTAAAATATGAGTATGACCTATATACATACATATGTATGTATGTCACAGTCAAAAGTATTTAAGACCTAAGAAAAGCTTATAAATAGCAAAAATAAATTTGAGTTGCAGTAAAGCCTATTTTACTAAGGATCGAATAATTAGTTGTGATTGAAATTAACTGAGCAACAATTATGTCTTCTTTGTATTGCAGCTATTGTTGTGAAAGATTCTTTGGGAGAGGCGATGCAGTACATACATATACATATATAAGCGATGTTGTTACACTGAAAAGAATCCATGCCTAATATATACGAAAAATGTCGTACATTGTACGAATCGTTCGTTGTTTCGCACCACGAAATTCTTTCGTAATATATACGAAATTGTACGAAATATTTTAGTATAATGCAAAATAATCTTGGAAAGATATGAATTTTGAATAAATATGGTCAAATTTACCAAATATTAATTTATGCAAACATTTTTGTTCATTTTAAAATAATTTTTCTAATTTTAGTTCAAAATTATTCTCCACACGAATTTTTAAAATTTTTTTATGAAAATAATTTGTGAATAATAGTATACTTTTTCTTAAATTTTATAAAAATGTTGTAGTTTTAATTAATGATAATTTAATTAATATCATTATGTTTAATTTCGCTAAAATTTAAGAAAAAAATATTACGAAAAGTTTTCGTACTTTCGTAAAAATAGAAAAGGGTTTTATTAAATAATATTTCGTATTATACACGAAATTTTTGTAAATATTACGAAAATGGAAGTTACGAAATTTTTTTTCGTAAAGTTGAGCATGGATTATTTTCAGTGTATTTATATAATAATAATTTGTTTCCAATGGAATGATTAAAGACCCTTTAATTAGTATGGCCGTGTATTTAGAGGGATTTGAAATTAATATGTCAAAAGGACAACAAAGAAAAGGCTACTATTCCACATAAATGAAATTCTAAATTCTAAATAACATTGTTTCACAAATTTTTTTCACAAAATAAGAATTTTAATAATTAATAATAATAATGCTTACTTAAAGAACGTAAGCACTTGTTTTTCAGTTGCTCTTTTTGAATTTCTTTCGTATGTACCTATTTTAAAAAAATATATGAACTATTTGTTAAAATCACATACGGCATATAAAAAATTAAATAATTCTATATTCTGGCGCAATTTAGTCGTAAACAATAATGACTAAATAAAAAAAGTATTTAGCATAATAAGTAGTCAACATCAAAAACAACATTTACAAAACTTTATTAGACAAACATTAATGACAAAATAAGAAAATAGACAATAAATTTATTAACAGCAAAATTTTATAAAGAAAACATAAGAAAAAAAAAACGAAACGAAAAAATATGAAACATTTTAAATTGGTTTAACAATTGGAATTAAATTGTTTAAACAAAGCAACACCTACGATAAGAATGAAACACGTAGATGGAGCGCGCTGCTTCCGAAGTACTCGAATATTTTTTATTTAATAAAAAACAAAACGATTGGTACAATTTCGAAGAGTAGGAGGAGTGTAAGAAATTAAATTTCTTTATTTATTTATTTATTTATCTATTTATTTTTTTGTGTGACAAATTTGGTGTATTTGTTGTTTCTTTGGAAGGAGATGCGTTTAAATATGCTTTTAATAAATGGGACGTTCGCTGTGATTGAGTAGTGTGGCATATGACAAACAGGTTATCAACGGTAGTTATTTGATAGATTACAAGTTCACGTATGTGGGTGGAGCTTGGGGAGATGCTTGCTGAGGACCGCCGGCGCCACCAACGACATTGGCACCACAATTACTACCACTTAAATTCGTTGTACCATTTGCATTGAGACCTCCAGAGTTATTCGGATGCAAGTGTGTTTGATTTAAGCTGGCACCGTTGCTATTATTATTGTTGTTATTATTATTATTTGTGCCATTTGTACTGCATTGTGAATTTGATCCTCCAGATCCACCGGCATTGCCGACTACTGCTGCATTCAGTAAGTGCATGTGATTGGACGATGACGTCGATGATGATGACGAGGATGAAGAGGATGAATTTGGCAGCATTACAGTGCCCCCAATACCTGTCACAACCGTATTGATCATAGAGCTTGAGCTCAAACCTACACTGACACTCCCAACTCCACTGCTAGCACTTCCGGAATTGGTCAAGGCGCTTAAACTTGGACTGCTCACATTGATGATTTTGTTTTTTTTTTTTTTCATTTAAGCATTTTATATTAATTGTTCATTCATTCGTTCAATAAATCATTAATTAATTTGTTTATCCATTTTTTTATTGGTAAGCATTATCAAAGGAAAGGTTTAAAAGACATCATTATTAGTTAGTTTTCATGTTAACAATTAACTAAATTTGTCTAATAAAAAACAACAAAGATATTGAAACTAAAATATATCCAATATCTACCTTTATTTATTCTTACAAACGTAATTAAATATTTGCATTAAAGCCATAGTCTATCTGACAGTGTCAGCTATTTAACACAAAGTAAAGCCTATCTATTTTTCTTTAAAGTTATGAGCTATATACATACATATATTGCAAAGCGAAAACTTAACTAAATTTAGAAAATCTGAACGAGAGACTAAACAGTCGAACTTTTTGTAAGAATCTATACTGGCAATTATTGATTTAAAAGACATACATATATATATACATACATTAGAAAAACTATGTTTTTATAAAACTAAAATCTTGACTTAAGTGAACGGAAGTATATTTTATTTAAATTTCAGGTAAATTGATCTTAAAAGAATATTGTTTATCAACTATTTTAGTTATTTAGCTATGACTTTCCATATTTATAGTTTTGTATTGAAGCCTAAAACTATATTGAGAAAAACAAGAAAATTTTGTGAAATATACATAAATATATGTATATTGCTGATTAACCGATTTTTTTTATTGAACCAAGGTATAAAATAAATAGGAAATAATTTTGTAAAATTGTTTAAATCAATTGCTCAATTCACTATCGACATTTTAGCGTTGTATGTCAGCAGATTCTACAATAGTCATAATAATTGTAGTTGGTATTTTCTACGCAAAAATTGTATACAGCACTTATGAAATTTTCACATATCTCTCAAGACTGGCATAATCCAAAATGCGGCGTTTTGGAACTGAACATTCTGAAGTCTTTTATATAGATTTATTCAAATATGTCTATTACTTTCGGTGTAAGATCGATTTTTTGTTGTTAACGCAAAAACTAAAACTCATGTTTTCACGAATATTAGATAAATAAAAATTAAATTTCAATTTAGATGATAAACATATTAACCTCTACTTTGAATTTTTCAAATCCCTTGTTTCGTTTAAAAATTATTTAAAAAATAGTAAAAAATGTTATTAAACGTTCAAAGCCATTTTTCTCAAAACAACTTTTTGGATTATGCCAGTCTTGTAGTATATGAGCGATATGTTTGTCGAAGGTTGTAAAAAGATTCAGTGTTGGCAAAAGTTCATCTCAACTAATTTTAGCTTAAAAAAACAACCTAAAAGCTGTGATACACGATTGTCAGATCTTAAAACGTTGTCAGTAAAATGTGCAGAAAATGTCTAACAATCGTGTGAACTTACTATTTTTCTTTTGCAAGGTTGTCAGAAAAAGCATAACTGACAATGTTCCAAGACAAAATTTGTAAGTTGACACTGTTTTAAGACATTTTCTGCACATTTTACTGCCAACGTGTAACAACCGTGTATACATAGCTTAACTGAAACCAAAAACAGCTGATTGCCAAAACAAAAATAAAAAAGGTTTATTAAAAAAGTTATTTATTAGCATGAATTTTGTAACAAAGTAAAATAAAGAATTTTAAATTGATAAAAATGTTACTAATTTATGTTCATGTTGACGAAAAGAAGAAGCAATCAAAACAAACATACAAAAGTTATGAGATAAATAAAAAATGTATTGAATTTTCTATGTTTATTTAGATTGTTTCTTCTCTTTGACAACATAAATTTACGACTTGTCGCAAAGTTCTGTTCACAATTGCAGTTGTACTTCACAAAATCCATTATTTTTAATTCGTAAAATCGTAATTTTGAAACTGATTTCCCTATTACTAATAACTGCTTTGCATTAAGTCATAAAAAACAAAAGATATACAAAACCAGCACCAGGAAATAATTTTATTTTATTTTTATAAACAGCATTATGTATTCACATGTAGTAAAGATATTTTTCAAATAAATGTAAGTGTATTTCATTTCCAAATGTTGTTGTATGTAAAAATATTAGACACCGAAGCAAGGAGCAGAATCTTATAAATACATATGTATATATGTACATTAGACCGACTCACAACAAATGTTGCTTGAGTTACCCCTTCAAAATATTCGCTGTTATGTAATATGATGTTACCCAAAATATTTTGGGTTTAGTGTTGTATGTTCGTGAGCTTTTCAAGAAAATATTTTATGGATGACACGATTTTTCATATTCAATACAATATTTTATACAGCTTCAAAAAATCTTTGTTTTGTAAAGGTTCCCAAAATATTTATAGTCTATCGACGGCCGTTCGTGAGCTGGACCCGTTAAAAAAAGTCCCTTTTTATTTTTTTTTTAAATTTTACAGTTTTTTCTTAAACAAAATATACAATATATTTTGTTTCATAACAACACTAAAATTCAAGCAAAAATAATTCAAAAAAACCTTTTTTAATTTGGTCTAGTACACGAACGGTCATCGGTAGACTTTATTTTGCGAATCATCAAAACAAAGCATGGAATGTGAAAGGGGTAACAAAAACGCGCGCTGCCATACAGACATACAGACAGACATACAGACAACAGACATACAGACAGACAGACAGACAGGAACATACAGACAGACAGACAGACAGACAACAGACAGACAGACAGACAGACAGACAGACAGACAGACAGACAGACAGACAGACAGACAGACAGACAGAACAGACAGACAGACAACAGACAGACAGACAGACAGACAGACAGACAGACAGACAGACAGGACAGACAGACAGACAGACAGACAGACATACAGACAGACAGACAGACAGACAGACAGACAGGACAGACATACAGACAGAAAGACAGACAGACAGACAGACAGACAGACATACAGACAGACAGACAGACAGACAGACATACAGACAGACAGACATAGACATACAGACATGCATGCAGCAGCAGACAGACAGACAGACATACATAGATACACAGACATACGACATACATACGGACAGACAGACAGACAGACAGACAGACAGACAGACAGACAGACAGACAGACAGACAGACAGACAGACAGACAGACAGACAGACAGACAGACAGACAGACAGACAGACAGAAACATAACAGAACAGACAGACAGACAGACAGACAGACACAGACAACAGACAGACAGACAGACAGACAGACAGACAGACAGACAGACAACGACAGACAGACAGACAGACAGACAGACAGACAGACAGACAGACAGACAGACAGACGACAGACAGACATACAGACAACATACATACAACAGACAGACAGACAGACAGACAGAGACAGACAGACAGACAGACAGACATACAGACAGACGACAGACAGACAGACAGACAGACAGACAGACAGACAGGACAGACAGACAGACAGACAGACAGACAGACAGACAGACAGACAGACAGACAGACAGACAGACAGACAGACAGACAGACAGACAGACAGACATACATACATACATCATCATACTACTAACTACATACATACTACATACATACATACATAACACATACATACTACATACTACATACATACATACATACATACATAATACATACATACATAAATACATCATACATACATACATCATACATACATACATACATACATACATACTAACATACATACATACATACATACATACATACAACATACATACATACATAAATACATACTCCATATACATCATACATACATACATACATACATTACATACATACATCATACATACATACATATTCTGTCGTTCTGGATCGGTCTATATATTGTTATCATATGTACATACATATGGTATTTATAACTAGTTTCTATACATACGAGTATTAAAAAATTGCATTTAAGTTGTTTAAGTATTAATACATTTTGAATTTTTTACTTAATTGTTGTTGTATGTTAAAATTAACAAAAAATAAAGAAGAAATATGTAAATGGGGTTTGGGGAAAAAGAAACTAATGATATTTGAAAATAATAAATAAACTGTCTTAACATCACATACATAATAATAACGAAAGAAATTATAAAATAAATTGTATGTAATATCATAATATGAACGTATGTAAAAAATTTAAAAGGTGTGTTAGTGAGATAATAGACATTTGGTGGGTGATATTTGTTGTGTAATTCTAAATTAAATTGAAAATATTTTGATTTATAGACAATGCTGATATGTCCAATTTACAGTTCGTACACACCGAAAAGTTAATATTGGCATTAACTGTATAATGGTAATAGAAACGAATACTGAGAATTCCGAAAAAAGAAATACTAACATTTTTGCAAACAAGTTTAAGTTTTAATTTTGACCACTTTTTATTATAATCGGTTGATCTTACAATGTGAGCTTCCAATATTAAAATTTAAAATAAAAACCAGGTTTATCCAAGGAAATCATTTTCAAAATTAAAATTAATTGCATTGCTAACATGAATATTTGTCAATATTTGGTGAGCTGGATAAAAGCATGAAAAGCATAAAAGCATGAAATTTTGTATCATTTGAAAGATCATTTACAGATTTATTCAGATTTTATGTGCGGTTACAAAAGTACATATTAATTTTTCGTACTTTTTTTTAATAATTTAAATTATTACATCTTATATAATTACAGTGAAGTAGTTTTTTGTGTTTTTCAAAATTCTAGCTATCATTTTATATCATTCCTTTGCGTTAAGTATGAAAAAATTTGAGAAAACTTATAAAAGGACCGTTCTATTATTTGAGCTAACAACATTTTGAGAAACGGTATCATAGAAAGAACTAGACTTTCATCAGTATCTTATTTCTTCTTCATACAAATGGGTCCCCTGGTACACAAATGTATTATATATAAACACGGAGAAATCGCATCAAAACCTAACTATTGATATGAATTTGGCTTGCGGCGTTGCTAAGAGCTTCACGAAAAAATACCAAATCGGACTTTAAAAAACGTCATCCCACATATTTCGGCTTATAACTCAACTAGTGTGTTTTTAATTGAAAGAATTTAACATTAATTTGACCCCTCTACATGTGTCCAGATTTATATTGGATTTTGCTTTTTATATATTTATGTATATGCCAATATCAACTTTTCACATACTAAATATTTGTATTTTTGTTATAAAATAAGTTCAGTTTTTGTATGATTTTCTGTACTAAATAACTAAAAAAAAAACAAAGTAGTAATAAAAATAATAACATGAATAAGAATTTCTAATAATTTTTTCTGTGTTTATGACTGTGTTTATATTTTTCTTGCTTAAGTAGAAATTTCAAGATAAAAAAATATGATGATTCAGAGCGGATAAATTAGCTTGCAATAGTATGAAACTTAATTTTTTCTAAATTCTCATAAACAAAATGTTTAGCAAGATTTTAGATCGGTAGTTAACGGTACAACTCATAACTCGAACGATTTTCCAGTAATTTTGTAAATAAAATTGAAAAATAGGATTAAAAAAACTATTAAATTATTATATTTTATATATTTCATTGCTTGGAACTAATAATGTTCATTTATATTACAATTTTTTAAGTATTAGTAATATTAACGAAATCTCAATTTCGAAAATTGTATACAGAAATGACATGTATTTACACTCATTATATCCGTTTCGACAGTAATAATTGTAGGTAATTAGTTGTATAGAATATATCAAATACACTGGCAAACTTATAGCACAGTGTCGTCTAGTCTGTTAAACCGGAGGTCGTGGGTTCGATCCCTACCAGATATACTGGTAAGAAGCGCACAGCAGGCTCGATGTAGACCTAGTAGTATTTATTCCGATTTTATGTAACATACATCCTCCTTTCAAAGTAACTACTAACTATAACACCGATCCACAAAATTCAATCTACCGAATTTATTACATTCTATCATTTATATCCACACAATGTTTTTCTTATGATGTCGCTATTTATCCACTCTGACAATATTGTACTGTGTATACGTGCAAAGGTTTTAAAAATTCCTGGAACTGGCATTAAGGATTTTAAGTTAAATAATATACACAATATTTATCTTTCATTTTCATTACCAATAAAGACAATTATGGCTTTGATCACTATATGTAATAAAATTTCTTTGATTTAAATTTTCCATAAGCCCTTTACAATTTTGGTACAGTTAAAAATATATCATATTCATTTTTTCATTTGGCCAAAATTTTACAAAACCTAAATCATTGGTAAACTTTATAATCTAGTTAAATTAGTTTGAATTTAATAAATATATATTTTTACAATAATTAATTTACATACCTGCAAGGTTTACACCACTGATTTTGTTGATCCAAACCGAACCGAGCTCGACATTTCTTCATATTATTACCTAAATCAGTAGGTTTAAATAAAGAAAAGAAAAAACACAAAAAGTACATACAAATAACACAATTTATGTTTGATAATAAAATATTTCAATGGCAAAAAGAAAGAAGTAACAGAAAATTTAATGTATTTTTCAAAAATAACAGTTAGAGAAATTAACAGAAGTAGGAAAAGTAAATTAAACGACATACAAGTACAGACATACAAAAGTATTATTTATAATTATTATATAAACACTGCTAAATGTCAGTACAACTAAATGTAAAGTAATAATAATAAAAAGCATGCAATATCTTATTAATTGAATAATAATAAAAAACAATCAAATAAAAAATTAGTTACATAAATATATGTATATATATTTTTTTGTTTTTATAATTATATATAAATATATACAACAAAAGAAAAACCTCATGAAATCACAAAAGAAACTAGAACAATGTCGATTTGAAACCTTAGACCAGTAATTATGTTTTAGCAGAACTAGATACTTCTCGAGTTACACCTTCGCGGAATAATATCTTATAGTTTACACTACTCTTAGAATTAAATTTGAATGTGCAACACATCAGTTGTGAGTACAACGAGGATATATTTTTCCAAAATCTGAGCAGACAGAGAAAGACTTTGTTTAAAGCAAACAATATTTAATGTCAATGAATTGACGAATGCCAGTTCTTTGAACAAAAAAGGTAGTAAAAAATTGCGTAATTCCACTTGCGTGCTTATCTGTTAGGTAGGTGGGCCTATTGCAATAAGTTGGCCTATTGCAATAGGTTCTAGCTCATAATTATGTTCAATATGTTTGTAAGTAAGGTTCTTAATTATCGGTCCATAACTGACCATAGCCCCCCCATAAATAAGTCCGAATTCGAAAATTACTTTCACGTTCACAATTGGCATATATGTATATATATGAAAATACTGGTATCATAAATCCCTCCACCAAATTTTATAAGGATCGGTCATATCTGACACTAGCCGCCATCCAAAGCATGTTTTAGAAAATCAGTTTCTAACTCTTTGTACGTTCTAAGGTCACAAAAAATTTCTACAATAAATTAACTCTAATACGGTGTTTAATATTAGTTCATATTATAAATTGTTCTTTAGTTCATGAGATTTTCTTTCTGATGATATATAATAAATTAAAATGGCCCAATTCAATAATTTTCAGTGTTTTTATTGTAAGCAAATTTCAGTAGCAAAAGTTTAAATAATAATAAAAATCACAAATTGTTATTTTGTTAAAAATAATAGTTATAATAAATAAACTCAATTAGGAATATCCACCACCATAAAATATTTTTGTGTATAAAGTAAAAGATAGGTCTACATAGATCCGAAGGATAATGGTAATTTTTTAAGATTTAAGATTTAATTATTGAAAGAACAGTGGTTCTGAATTAAAAAAAACGTAGTGATTTAGACCTGAAGGTAGGTATATAGATAGGTTTTCTGTTCAACATATATTTAAAACAATTTGCCGATAATAATGGTGGTGGTTTTAGCCTTCTTGGTATTGACGGTGTGTTATTTCGTTTATAACGAAAAACCTAGAAACTGGATTTTAATTTAACGTTTTTTTAGATTAAGAAGAAGAAAAAATGTTTTGTAGACTGTTTTTAACTAAGAAAACTAAAAAATCATTGACACTCAATACAAGTTTGGTAGTATATATAAATATACATACAATTTAATATCTAGATATATGTATATAGAATATATGTTATTATTGTTAACCCATTAATGGCCAATTTCTAGCAATGAGTGAAAAAACAAGTACAAATTTCTAGAATTGATTGTAGTTTGCCTTTTAAAAAATATTTATAGTATGTATATACAGTTTATTTTTAGTTGTTAGAAATTTTGTTTCGTCTATTATTTTGTGAAAAAAGAAAATATAATTAATATTGTATATAAAGAAATACAAAAAATTGTACAAGTATAGTTAGATACTGAGCAGCTCAAGTTATATGTATTTTGTTGAACATTAATGGGTTAATTATTAAAGTAAATGTGTGTAGGTAATGTTTTTACTTATTATAGTAATTTGTTGTTTTTTATTATAACGAATATACATATTTTTATTTTTTTATAAAATGTATGCCTGAAAAAAGTTAATCTAACCTCCGTCTGCATTGTTGTCTTGTTTTCGCTTGCGTTTCTTCCCTCGTGACGCATTTGTCCGTGAGCTCCAATCGGGATACATTTGCATATGCAATTGACGTTCTCGACGTGCCAATTCATAATATTTGGCTTGTTCTTCCCGACCCAAAGCATGCCACTATTTTGTTTATTAGTTCATTTTTATTTTTTTTTTCAATATTTTTTGTTCAATTTGATGAAGTACAAGATTTAGGTAAAAAAACAAATATTTAGAAAATAAAAAATAATCAAAAATGTTTTTAACAATTAATTTGTTTTTGCTTTTCCATTTTTTGTATGTTTTTTTGATTTAGCTTTTTATTTGAGCGAGTTAATTAAAAATAATGAAAAGAAACAGAGGAATTCCCATTTGACTGATTATAAAAAACTTTTTGGCTTAAAAATTACAATTATCACGATCGTTTCTACGGCTTCGGAAGCATGCAGTCATATGCCGAATTAGTTTTTTTATATAAAAATATATAGAAATTTGTTTTTATAGGTATATCATATAATTTAAAAATATATATTTTTTAATGTGTTAAAGCATAGTAATGTAATAGTTTTGTAATTTTCCTTAACAAAATACAATTTTTTGTTTGTAATATAATAAAATTCCACCATTCTTAAAATACAAAAAGAACTGATAGTTAAACCGTGAAGGTTATAAAATAAGTACTGAATTGTAGACAAATTGCAGTAAAGTAAAACTTTTTTAAAGCGAACTCCTATATAGAGCTAATGGCAAAAATATGGAGAATATCGTGTCAAGTGAACCAACTTTAAAAATCGATGTAAGCCGAACACAAATTTTCTGCTCTATCGGTCACGAACTGCCGGAGTCAGAGGGGCTCAAGGTTGGACATTTTTGTCATACAGGGTTTTTCAAATATGTGTAACTTTTCACCTATTAGTCCTAGCAAAAATTATCCAAAGGAGTTCTGATAGGTATTTCTTCATTCTTTATATTTTATTTTTTAATTTTTTTTCAAAATGGGCCCTTTTTATTTTTTTGCTTAAAAGAATGCTTATACAATTTCCTTAAAGGGCTTTATAGTCCCATAATGGGATGCGAGTAGGATATTCATCAAAAAATTATTTTTTAACTCAAGAATAAAATTTTGTTCAATATTTGGCACTTAATTTTCCCCCATTTTTTCAAAATGGACGTTTTTGTTGTATTTTTTTTTTACTCAAAAGAAAGCTGTGAAAAAAATAATATTTTAACTGAAAAACTTTGCTTTTGGATTTAAAATATTATTTATATATATACCACTCGCATCCCACAAAGCTCTTAAAGCTATCTGCACTCCTTTGGACATTTTTTGCTAGGACCAATAAGTGAAAAGTTACACTCATTTGAATAAAATACTGTATGACCAAAATGTCCAACTTTGCCCCCCTATAAGTCCGGCAGTTCTTGACCGACAGAGCTGAAAAATTGTGTCTGACCTACTATCCAATAGTACTAGCCTTAGAGAAAATGTTGTCGAAGTATACTAAGAAATTTTTTCTGGTTTGGTTTTGTACAGTTTTTTTGTTTTTATAGAGGAGTAATAATCTATATAGAATTGCATTTCCATATAAATATATAGAAGTTAAACATCGGTTGAAATCATGAAAAAGCAGGATTTTAGATTTTAATGCAAACTATAACGCTATCCTAAGAACTACGAATGATCAAAATACCATGTTTTAATATAGTAAATAATTCTGCGAATGCAGTAATAAAATAATCTTAAAATTAATGTTACACATCACTATTTATAAAAGATCAATTAGTGCCATAACCATAATCATAAAGTACAAATAAGCGATTAGGTTTTCTATTCGGGTATGTAAACTTTATGATAAATTTTTTTTAAGATAAGCTGATGTAATCAGGCACATGTCCTACTATGTATGTACATTAGAAGTTTCAATTTTGTTTGGATGGTCCTTATTTTGTTCATGATTGTCTAAACCAAACTTGTGAACAATTTTAGCCCAATCGAATAACGAAATGAAGAAAATATAATTTTAATAGCTCAATTTCAATCGATTTCAGGAACGGGTTCCCATTTTCCGATTGGATTAAAAATTTTACACCAGTTAGTTTTAGACACTAGGTGACCAAATACCAAACAAAATCTATATTTTTAGGCACCTCAAATATATATACATACATATGTATGTCAATTATGTAAAAATAACTTTCAACAATAGCACATGCCAACAATTTTTTTAACCCAGAGCTGTGCTGAAACCGAATCTGGCCTCAGAATTTCGCCATCACATCCAGTTTTCGAGATATCGTGCCCATTTTGTAGCCATTTTGAGATGTTATACAGCGTGAAGACATCTTGTCACCTGAAAGGCCAATGTATCGACTACGCCTTTATTTTATGACAAACTAGATGTATGTCACAATATCTCATAAATTTTCCCCAATAGTTTTTGAATTTAAACATTTATAGTATTTGCTAACATATCGTCTATAATTGCTTTTAACTATGGGTTAAGATAACTCGAAGTGGAAGAAAATATAACAGAGATTTAAACTTTATTTTAAAGCAATGGTGTCCATTTCATAGCGCGTTTGCGCAGACTAAAAACATACATACATATTCTTATTCTCTTTTATTTAGTAGTTGCTCAGACAGCAACGAGTACTCATGCTTAGCGGGCGTACGAATTCTTTTAATTTTTTAAAATTTTTGTTGTTAATGCACTGAAAAAATGAAACGTAATATGTGAGAAATTCACTCTTAACAATATTTGATACAAAAAATTAGGAATTCTAAGGTCAGATTCGGATTTAGCGGTGCTAAAAGTATATTTTTTATACTTTTTCAAATGTATGTGTAATCATAATACCACTACCAAATAACAAAAAGGAGTATCGGTCTCACAACCTAAATTAATTTTAACAATTGTGTGTAAATCGTATCGCATTGTCGGGCCTAACCGACCATATATACATTGCTTGCTTTTGTTTGTATAGGTATATTACAAAATTATTTAAGATTTTGAATTCTGTTTTTAATAAAAATTATTTTTGTTTTTCAATTATTATTAAAAACTCAAAATAAAACTAGAAAACTAGAAAAAAATTATAAAAATTGGGCCAATTCTATAAAAAGTTTTTACTTGAATTTCGTAACCAAAATATATGAACTAATTTTGAACCAATTACTAAACAAAAATAATTCAAAATATATGTATTTTTCAAACCAAATGCAATTTTTGTTTGTATTTTGACAAAACAATTATTTTTTTGTTGAGAGTGTATGTGTGTATTTGTTATAGAAAGATTTTTTAGTGTTTTAAATTGTTTCGAATATTGATTAATTTTTCATTGTTTTTCTTATGGTAATGGTTTGAAAGCAATTCAAATATTTATTCTAACCTAATAAATTTAAATAATGGTTATGTTTGCTGTTTATACAAAAACAAAGAAATTATTAAATACAAATCATAATAATTATAATATCAACTGTAAAAGTAATACTGATTAAGACGTATTATGTATTTGTATATAGATTCAAAACAAAATGTAAAACAAAATAAAAGCAGGTGATTGAGTTTTAAATATAAATGGTCTTTAATGATTGGATAATTGTACTAGTGATGTTTTCTAACAAGTCTACATATTATTCTAACAAAAAAAATGTTTTTGATCGCACTTAAAGATGCCATAGGTTAATAAAATGTATATAATGGCCCATCTAACACGAGCAGTACTGAAGGATATATTTTCATTAAGTTAAATCTAAAATTATACATGTTTTTGGCGATCGTATTTCATAATAACAGTACACATAGGAGTAATTTAATTTAGAATTGTAGTGTCAAGATAGTCTGCTAACATTTGTACTACACTTTTCTTTCCTGATCAATTCTAAAATGCTACTTTTTATATACATATATCACAAGCAATTTGACAGTGTTATCGAATCGAATTGTTCGTTGTCCTGCATAAATGTATATTGAATTTTCTATTTATTTGTAAATTATATGCAAATGTAACTGCATGTTTTGTTTTTGTTTAAGAATCCTGTTATTAGTCCAATTTGAACATTTTTTATAATGAACAGATATTTTTGTAAACATTTAGTATTAAAATATTCCTGTGGAATTATTGAAATATATTTTTATGATTGCATTTTAATTTATGTTAAATTTTAAAATAAAAACTAAATCCAAGTAGTAAAACTTCTTCGAGGGTGTATTATAAACACAAGATGTAAAAGAACAGCAGAAAAGACATTATCGCCTCCTTCTGCGACCCCTAAAATATTAATTTAACTGTCCTATAGTAGAACTATATCCATTGGCATATATTTTGCAAACAAAAGGTATTATTTATACTGGACTAATGTGGACAGCACCATAATTGTTCTTTAATTTTTGTCACTTTTCGTTATATTATTTGTTATAAATACATTAATTGTACGTTCTAATGTTATAAATTATAAAAAATAATATTAATAAATTATGAAAAAGTAAAAGTAAAGTAAGGAAAGGAAAGAAGGAAATAAATCCGAAAATAAGGATACAAATTTTAAAACAGTTAATAATGATAGATGATGGTTGGTTAATGTTTTTAGTGTATTATAAAGTTACAATTAAATGAAAATGATAATTATAATTATAATAATTAAAAAAATTTTAAATAAAAAAAATTTTGTGCAATACCTCCCGAATCCGCGGGCGATCTGTCTTTTTTACGCTTTTTCTTTTTCGAAACATAACCATAGTTGTCCCGTGCACTCCACCCCGGATACAATTCCATGTGTAATTGACGTTCTTGCCGAGCTTTTTCATAATATTTACTTTGTTCTTCGCGGGACAGTTCATGCCACTACAAAATAGTTTGGGGAGGGGGGGTTGTATTTAAAATGCATACGTTTCAATGAAATTACATACATAAATGTTTCATATGTAAAAGTAAGTTAATAAAAAGTTATTAGCTAGTTTAATTATTGAGACCCTTCCAAAAAGGGTGATCATGTATTAAACTAACAATAGTAATAGTAAAAACAAATTTAAATACAGCTTCTTGAAAATTCCAACGCTTAATTTTGTTTAATATATTTATTTTTATATTTATTTGTTAAGAAAAAATGGTGTAAAACAAAAACATATTATTTTAAAATATTTTGACAGAATAAAACATTACTTGAGTAAGATTGGCGAATGTTACTGTATGATCGAGGCCCTTAAAATCTGTCAATAAACGTTTTTATCTTTTATGAAATGAATGAAACATTAGTTTATTTATTTTGGATTTTAGTTATTTCAGAGAAAAAAGTAGCATTCCAAATAAAGCAAAATAAATGAAATGTTTTTGAAAAGATAATAAGTATATTTAATTATAGTTGCGAGTTGATATGATCAATAAATGTATAATGGTACAGTAACACAGTTTCGCTTAAATCCTCGCATTTTTTCTCAAACAATGTTTAATTCAATATCAGAAAGTGATTCTACATAAAATCTTTCATTTAAATGTATGTTTATATGATTAAATAATTTTAAATAAATGATTACATTACACATATCGTTGGGTTAGTGTTAATAACGCTTAACTGACATTTCATTGTAACATGATGGGGAAATCTGTTGAAGCATCATTATCTCATGTTTAAGTAAAAAATTTCAGTTACAAGTTACCAACATGTAACCTTCCAAACATATGTAAATATGTATCACTTTCACACTTTCATGGGACTTTATTCAATACTACGTTCTTTTTAGTGCATAGGACGCTTAGAAAGCTTACAAGCATGATTTATAGTTCTAATGTGGACTTACCCGTCTACCCAAAATTTGATTAATGGCAGCTGATTCCTTTAGTGTGCACTCTGCCACTACTTTGGCACGCATTTCCTTCATGTATAACATGAAAGCATTCAAAGGCTTTTTGATATGTGGTTTCTTTTTTTCGGATGAGTTATCCTTGCAGTTATCGTTTCCCTGTAAATTCGATGAATTTTTGTTATCCAGATTCCTGAAAGGCAAAAAAAAATACAGTATATATAATTAACTAGTACCATATTGATGAAATTGAGAGGCAGTGGAGAATTATATTTCTCAAACCGAAATTGGAGATACTATTGACCGTATTTGTTACATTATTAGGTGTCTTTGGTAAATTGTATATATAATAAGAAATAAGTAAATATATTGAAATATTAAATAAATAACAGACTAGTGTAGTATCTCTTCATTCTTTATGACCTATTGTTTTATTTATATTAATTACATCTTCTTAAATTTGTTGCCAATGCTGAGATCATATGGTCCTTCAGAATTCATTGCTGAGTTTGTCAAGTTATTGGTATTGTTAGTTGTGGAGGTGATAGCAACTGTCGATGCTGCATTTGCTGAAGCTGTGGCAGCATTAATGACAGCTGCAGCAGTTAAAGCACTGAAGCGAACTTTAAACATGTCACTTAAAGCTTTTTCCTGTAGAGCAGCTACAGCAGCGGCTGCTGATGTTGAATGTGTGCCATATATTTGGGCATTTGTAATGGGCGGACTTGTAGCATAGGAGGGCGTGGTTGTATTTAATCCGGCAATAGAGGTGGGTGGTATACTACTATTATTGGTGTTGGTATCTAGTTTCTTTGTTTTACGTCGGTTACAGCTGGGGCTGGTGGTGGTAATCGGTGGTATATTGGCTGCAATAGTCGAAGAACTTGATGCTAAATTTATAAGAGCTCGATTGCTAAGAGCGGTAAGAAACGAAGATGTGCCACAATCTGTCATGAGCATATTTAAAGCTGGAGCTTCATCCGGGTGGTTTGAACTCATCGAGTAATTTGATGAAGATGATGATGCAGATGTTGTTTGTAAAAATGGCGAATTACAAGAATTCAGAGATGGGGTTGATGTCGATGTTGCAATTATTTGCGGCACTGGTGATGGATTAGTAGAGTTGACCGTATCCATTGATTTTTTTTGACAATTTAACGTAGTGTTTGCAGGTGCTGCTGCTCCCGCTGTTTTGTTAAGCGCTGCACACTCTAATATTATTTCAACGGCTGTTACAGCCTTTTCATTCCGATTCATGCCAACATTTTTAGGATGCCAAAAGCAAATGGGTGATTTGTTTTCCGAGTGTCCTGTGTATAGTTCTTCTTTGCCAAGTTTGCTTTCATCTTCTTCCTGTGTTTCTTCTTGTTGAGTTTCATTGGCGAATGGTTGCCAGACAGTTTTAAAAATATTGGTTTTAAATTCAGTATCTGTGTTACCGTTCATATCATTTGTTTCCCGCTTTATAGACGAAACATCCGATTCGATTATATCCGTTGTTTTCGATTGAGCTTTGGGTTTCAAGTCAGGTGTAGACCTATCTTCTAATAAATACTTGAGATGATTTACAGGTGATACAGATATAGACTCTTCTTCGGATAATTGACTAGTTCTTAAATACAACTGCCGTGAGTCTTCACAATGTCTAAAAACGTAGTGCAATTTTGCCATAATGGCTTCGATAAATCCCTTTTCATCTTTCAAATTATTACAGACTTGGCTGCCATTTGGTTTTTGAAGTGTGGGTGTCGCAAAAACGACTTGCATTTCTTGATTAATTTCCAAAAATTGTTCTAGGCATATGTGGGCTTGAGTTAAAATTTTTAATTGTTCGTGCCACAAATCTAAGATCTTGGTACCGCCAATATCATCAAAAACAGATGAGTTGGCGAGAAAAGATAACGCAGGTGATGTCGGTTGAACCTTGAGATATGTTTCTTTAATAGGATTCTTCTCAGTTTTTATGTTATTGGCTTCCAAGTCCAAGTCGTTGTTGTCGCTTTCAACTGCGACTTCAGTCCCCTCTAGTTTTTCATGTTGATGATCATTAGTCTGTACATTTTCATCGATGTGATCGTAACTTACATCATTGTTGTTGTTGGTTTTTAAACTGTAATCTAATATAAGAAGAGGTGATGGTGATGATGATGATGATTGCTGAACTAACTGCGAATGCAGCAGCTGAGAAGCCAACATATGATAGGCTGCCGACAAGCTAGATCTGTTCGTCTCTTTATTCGGCAACTGTTTTTGTTGCTGTTGTTGTTCATCTGTTATATTGTTAAGCTTAAGAATTTCCATTAAAAGTGAAGTTTGTTTTAAACCTGAGGAACTAAGACGAAATGATCTTTTGGCAAGTTTCTCCAAATGACGATTCGGAGCACAAGGCGGGGGGGTGGTGGCTGTCAAATTTGTGCTATTACTTGCAGCTGCTGCAAATGAGGCCAAACGATGCAATAAACTACGACCTTTTGTGCGATTAATGGTACTTTTAAGAGCATCTTGCGATGCGGTTTTGTTTGGAATGCATGTTGAGTTCGCCGTTATTATTGGTACAATATTTGTTTCATTGATTTCTTCGTTATATTTGTCCTCTTCCTTTTCAAGAACATTATTCGACATATGCTCTATGTTTTTTTCGTTCTGTAGATTAATTTCGGGGGGTAAATCTTTTCGATAACTATTAATACCAACATCTAGAGGAGAATCTTCAGTTATAGCAACTGCCATGGCAGGCAAAGAATCGCCATTTGATGTGCCAAATATATTTTGATTAGTTTGTGAGGAAAATTTAGACTTTAAATTTGAAGATGACAAAGGCCACGATGTCGTTACAGACGATGTTGTTGAGTTATGTATTTTTGAAAGTCCAGAAAAATAGCCGGAAAAATCGCTGCAACCCACTTGTGACGTTAAAAAAGAATACAGAGGGCTGGTTTTGGAGTTATTATGAAGAATATTATATAAATTCGACTGACAATGACTCGTTAAAGATGCAGAGTCGTTAGATAAACATGTTGTTTCTGCAGTTGTAGATGTTGGTGGCAAGGGCGTTAAAAACTCTATGGAACTGAAGGAGGGAGGAGGCATCAACCGCTCCACCTGTGCAATATGTTTTAATTGTAAATCTTTTGATTCAGCTTTATTAACGTCATCATCATGTTCCACATTAACAGTAGACATCTGTACTACTACTAGTAACCTTCACTGTTTAAAGACCTTTTAAAAAATGTTGCATATTTTCTTCCATAACACACTACCACATGCATAAATTATATGCAACTGAAAATATTTTCCTTTCCGTTTTATTTTTTCTACCCTTTACTATTCAGCTACAGGTTTTGGTCATTTTAGTGATAAACGCTCACACAAACTCGCAAGGGAATTGATAAATATTTATTTTTGTTTCTAGTTTTTTCGTTTGTTTATTTATACTAGTTTATTTTTGTTATATTTATGATTGTCCTGTCAAGTAATGTTTGTTTTATTTTAATTTATTTATTTACAAAATGCCACGCCTTGAAGGCGATTTTAATTTTGACACTTTATTTGCTTAAGACAGCATCTTTACTGTTTTATATAAAATGTTTCTTTATTTCATAAATTGTTTGAATGTTTATATTTTATTTATTTTTGTTTGAGTAAATAATTTATTTAATTGTTATCACTTTTCCAATGAGTTTTCTATAAATAATAATCGTTTTCTTTTATGTATTGCAGGCTTAGTACACTCATATACAGACATTCGCAATCATCAAAAAATATATGTTCGCACACTTACTCACACACAAACTTAACACAGACATTATTCACATATTTCAAAAAGTAAAACAACAAGTGCAGGTGTAATTAAGACAGAAAAGTGAAACATATTAAATAAAAAAAATAATTTATCCATCATCATTTTAATATGTTCAGTAAATGTGTTTATTGTGTGCTGAGTGAGTATTCACTTTTCTGCCATATTTTATACTCTTTCTCTATATCTCGCTCTCTCTCCCTTAAGCATACAAAAACAAAATATTTTTATTATGCTCTCACTGTATAATTATACCCTTCACCTTCGTGAGAAGGGTATATATAAGTTTGTCATTCCGTTTGTAATTTCTATAATATAATTTTCCGACCCCATAAAGTATATATATTCTGGATCCTTATAGATAGCGGAGTTGATTAAGCTATGTCCGTCTGTCTGTCTGTCCGTCTGTGTGTTTGTTGAAATCAGTTTTTAGAGTACCCCAAATATCGGCGAGATCCGAATTTTCAATAATTCTGTTTGACATGCTTTCGAGAAGATCGCTATTTAAAATCCGCAAAATCGGTCCATAAATACCGGAGATATGAGCAAAAATCCAAGACAACCTCTGAAAATTTCATAAAAAGACAATATTTTTCATGCTTTGATATAAGCAACAACAACAACACTGCTTATTCATTGAGTATTTCGTTTCATATGTTTGGGTGGCTGTGTGTTTCATTGCCTTGTTTATATTGTTTTTGTTTCTTGGTGCATTCCGTTTCGTATGTTTGGATGTCTGTTGGTTTCATTGCGTTGTGTATTTTGTTTTTGCTTTTTTTGAGTATTTCGTTTCGTATGTTTCATTGCCTTGTATATATTGTTTTTGTTTTTTGGTGTATTCAGTTTTGTATGTTTGGATGTCTGTTGGTTTCATTGCGTTATGTATTTTGTTTTTTTGTGCGTTTGTTTCGTTTAACGTTGTTGTTGTTCGTTTAGCTATTGCTATAATAATGATATAAACGGGAAAATGAAATAAATTAAAATTTTATAGAATTGATATTTTTAAATACACTGTGGTGAAGTGTATATAAGATTCGGCACAGCCGAATGTAGCACTCCTACTTGTTTTTATAAAAGATTTGCATATTTTTTTACTATGTTTCAAAATTAATGAGGAGGAAACGACATAAAACAAAAAATTTAAGACACTTTTGGAATACTACAACAATAAATAATAATTTGCAATTGTTAATCGAAATAATTAATCTATAAAATTATATACAACTCAAATGCACAAGGAGATTGATTCTGATACTTTTAGCAAGGCCATCACCATTTTTGGTTACAATGGATAAATTTTTATCTGTCATTCTGCTATTACCTATTTTATTATAAACAAATTCACAGTTTTGAGTTATAAGGTAATGAAACTGTCCTAAATTATGTTTAAATTTTTTCAACTACTTTGTAAAAAAATACATATTTAAAAAATAAAATTGAATAAAATTTACCATATATATTTAACAATTGAGAGTATAAATGTCATGGAACAAACACTCTTCAGACATATCTTTAGCAGGGATGGCAAAATTAATACCTTTTCCTTTTAATTAAAATTTTGTATCTTCAAACATGCTAAATTAGGTTTTCTGTATATTGATTTATTATAAAATCCGTCCCAGTCATATCATTAATAACTTTACTTAAAATGATTACAAAACCTGTTTGTCCAAAAACTTTATCTTATAATATCTGCATGATATCTTTATTTTTCTACTTGTGTTTTTATTTATCAACTTCTACATATGTTTTAGTTTTTTAGCTCCATAATTTTTTTCAAATGACACGTTCAATTCGAATTTTTAATACCAATTTGCCATTCCTGCTAGAGAATATAACTTTCATGTAATATATAAGACGTATTACTGCAATAAATAAGTATTGCATGGATTGAATGTTAAGTTTTGTATTTCGTTCGAATCCCCGGCCTGTACTTCCATTTTGGGGATGTTCTTGAAATATGAACAAGTGTTAAAATATTTGCTATTTTCTACTTTTTGTCATATATTCACCGTCTGGCAACTCTCCATGCATGCGCAGAAAACTTCAACTGTTAAAAAGCTTTTTTGGGTGCATTTTTCTATCTCTCTTTATTTTGTTAACAGAGCTGTCAACACACTGTTATATGGAGATAAAGCATTTATTTCAACTTTATTCAATTCTTAGGAATTGAATAAAGTTGAAATTCTTAGTTTTATGTAAATATTCAAATAAAGTTTAAGTTTAGAAAGAGTACTTTATTATTCATTCACAGTTTCTAAAATCCTACAAATTCAGAAAATCTTCCAATAACAATGAAAATTACAAATAAAAATAATTTTCAAGAATAGAAACAAGATTTTTTAATGTATAATCGTTATTAAAATTAATATCGTAATCAGTTTACTCATAATAGAGAAATGGAATTGGTTTGTTTACAACATTACTGAAAATTTTTTAGAATTTCATAATAATCAAAATAGGAATCAAAACCGTAATTTTCCTATTTCTAATAAGAAAATAAATAATTTTCGAAATTTCCTTTAAAAAAATAGTTTTTTTAAACAACTTTTAATTCTTAAAATCTTATATTTTGATTTTAAATTTAAATTTTTTTAAGTAAACAAGCTAAATTTTAATCATTGTTATATAGAAGTTGTTGTTTGGTTTAACAGATTTTTCGATTTTACGAATCTTTCGTAAGCCACTGCATATAATAAATTCTTATTGACAAAACTTTTGGGATTAAAAAATATATTTTAATCCCATTTTTTGCGGCAAATTTATAAGTATCAACATTTTTCTTTTTTAGTAGGTAGTAGGAAAATAGTCAACCAATTCTGATTGAAAATAATTCTTAGAAAAATAGAATTAAATATTTATTAAGAAATTTATATATATTTTTTTTTTAATTTATACCAAAATTGTTTATAATTTTCTTTAGAGGGCAATTTAAACTTATATGTGCCGTTACATTTAATAATCGAATAGTCCTTAGCATTACTGTTTAAGTACTTAGCTGTCAATATATTCACACACAAGTAACACATAGTAACGACATAGATACACTATGTCGTATATAAAGTATCGCCGATTTGGGAATGCAAATGTATGGAAGCTTCTCTGGAACTAAATATTGTTCCATATTTGTTACGGTATATTTAATTATTTTTATTTTACGAAGCAGACTAATTTTTTTTACGAATTTTATTGTAATTCGATTTAAAAAAGTTGTTTTGGTAATATGACATGTCAGAATTTTGGTAGCCCATAAAGTAACTAAATTTTGTGCTCTTTCTCTTTATCTATTACTGACGTACGCATACATACACCTAAATTCAACAAAGTAACTGTATTTCATCATTTACAAAAGTAGGTTTGTATGTACATATATTTCACAAAAATTTACTGGTTACTTTTGTTTTATATTTTTAAAATTTTCTTATACATGCATTATGTTTTTATTTTTTTTATCTTCCGGTTGTGAGCCAAAACTCATTACCAAATATTTGAGCGTTACCATAGAGTGTGTGTGCATATGTATCTTATTGATTTTGCAAAACAATTTACAAACAAACATTAAGTTGCATATCTTTAGGAAAATTAAAAAACAAATTCTCTTATTCTCATTTTAACCCAAACTGAACACAAACACACATGCATCAGAATTAGAGTATATTTATATTAATATAAGCGTTTATATTTCAAACATATTTATTTTGTTTATCATATTTTTTATTAAAACAATATGGCATTTTAACTTTTTATTTTAAATTCACAATTTTTTTAAATTCTTATATGTAATTAATTGTTTTTGTTTAACACCATTTGACGAAATTGTCTTCGGAACTAAAGTACACACATTCTTATAAAATATTAACTTCAAATGTGCTTTTAAAAAGTTAGATATCAACAAAAAACATATTGCTCTTAAATCAGTCAAAACCATATAGAAGCATATATTTATTTACATTAGGGCGGTATCAAATCAATAGCAACAAACATATTTGAAAGAATACTTAACTTTTTGCCAAAATAAATCATAATGCCGTAAATCATACCGTTAGATTTACTTCTGTAGATTTTGGCTGTTTGTTTGGAAATTTACAACATCATAGTAGCCGCCCTAATAAAGTACATTTACATTTCAGTTGTTGCATGTTTACTACCTTTTCTACTTTAATTGCGATTAAGGACAAAAAATATACACAAACACGTACGTATCTTTACGAAAGCTTCACTGAAATGTGAGTACATTTCAAACACGAAAAAGCTTTAAATTAGAGTAAATCAAATAAAACTGTTGATTCGAAATGTTTCTAACAATACGTATACATTAAAAATTTTTTTGAATAATTTAAAAAAAAAAAAATAATTAAAGTTAATAAAAAAATTATACCTATGTAAATATGTATTTACATTAAAATTTATAAATGTAAAAAAATTTTAGAATTTTTAAAATTACACTACTGCTATGGCTGAGCTTTTAAAAAGCTTTATAAAAGAAAAACATAATAAACAAGTAAGTTATAGTCGGGCGAAGCCGACCATATAATAACCTACACAAGTTATAAAAATAAAATGTGATTTAGTGTTCATAATAATGTATTTAAGTTGAATTGCACCTTGTCTCATATATACTTTAGCCATTTTTTATACCCTTCACCTTCGTGAGAAGGGTATACATAAGTTTGTCATTCCGTTTGTAATTTCTATAATATAATTTTCCGACCCTATAAAGTATATATATTCTGGATCCTTATAGATAGCGGAGTGGATTAAGCCATGTCCGTCTGTCTGTCTGTTGAAATCAGTTTTTAGAGGACCCCAGATATCGGCGAGATCCGAATCTTCAATAATTCTGTTAAACATGCTTTCGAGAAGATCGCCATTTAAAATCAGCAAAATCGGTCCATAAATGACGGAGATATAAGCAAAAATCCGAGACAACCTCTGAAAATTTCATAAAAATAGACAATTTTTTTCATGTTTTGATTAATAAGCAACAACAACAACTTTGCTTATTCATTGAGTATTTCGTTTCACATGTTT